TTTCTCCCAAAATATAGGGAATAAACATCTATTGCGACTAACTCTGAGTCTCGAGATTGACATATTTTTAAATTTTCGGTTTAAGTTGGATACAAATGTAGGTCTATAGTAGAGGAGTTCCATCTTTTCTCATTACGTGTTTTATTAAATACTGACCACTTATCTAATTCCCATATTCTGTTTCCAAAGAAGTCCGACACGTGACCTATCTGCTTTATTTTCTACTGAACAAATATATATGAAATGTAAGTGGAAAAGATACACATACACGATGCTTGAATCCACTAAGTTTTTGATTCACACCTTCTCCAAATCTTTAGCAAATATTGTAATTAATATATTTATTGTATTAAGTCAATAGAAAATGTATTTTTTATGGTAAATAAATATTATTATTATAAATTCATCCAGATATTTATGTTTTATAGATACCTACTGTCGTTTTTGTATACTTACATAAAAATATAAAATGGTAGTGACATGAGTGTATATTTGAGGAATTACAATTTTGATCAAGACATTTTAGGCCAGAATGCAACCAACTATAAATTATTAAAATATGATTTTCATATTATTAATAATGGTTACCTTATGCTTCTCCTAGAGCTAAAACTTTTTCTTTTTCTAAAGAATTGATGTATAAACGACTATATTTTACTGCTCGCATAGCAGATACCAGATCAATAACAGGAGCAAAAAACCCTATTTTACTTGTTTTAATTTTGTGACTGCTTTGAAAGTAACCATTTCTTTTCTTCGGGTAGTAGGTACAATCAACATAAGATTTTCAGTATTTAAAACAGTGAAGACTAACCCTAAAAAAATGTAATTTTGCTAGGAACTAAACTTTGCAAAGCCCTTAATAGCTGTATTTCTCCTGGTCTTGGTTAAAAATTCTCCTCGTACATCTTTTAAATTAATGAGGTAATTAGTGCAGTCTTCTACGAAGGTTCGTCACACTTCCTCATTTTCTTTTTTCATTGGCGCCTTAAAATCTTTTGCCCAAGGCAACCTGGAGTTTAATACATCAAAAAGGTTATTGACAAGTCTAATAAATTTTACGGTTCCCTCAGAATCTCTAAACATAGTGTCACGAGGTCGTGTTTTGTGTACCAGTTTCGTTTTTGAAAGAAAATAACAAAATAAAAGAAAATATATAATTTATTGATCTCAACCACACCTCATTTATTTTAACAATATTTTTAAATGTCTTGGTACACTTACCACATTTCTCAATCTTGGAGCACGTCACAATCTTCCCCAAAAAGGCACAATGGAAAACTTTTTTAATTTATAAGGATCTTAAATTATTACTTTTTTTATTTTAAAGGATTTTAAATTATATCAAAAAAGATGGCTTTTTGAGTCCACCTTTTTCGCTGTCGAGTCTACCACTAACTTCCTTGTTTAATTTTAATATCTAATTTTTTGAATATTGCTGATGTGCAAAATTATACGTAGTTTAATCAAACTTAAATTATGTGGTTGATGACCTGATATTATTCTAATTAAGCAATATAATTTCCTTATTATTTCCTACGTATATTAGCAATTCGGCAGTATTTTGTAATCGGTTTTAAATTTGTTTAATTATCTATGTTTTGACTTTAATAAAAAATGCTGAATAAAAAATAAAATGAATTTGTTTAATTTACTTTAAAAAACACTAAGAAAAATTAGTATTAATATTTTTTGGAATGATGAAGATCCTTGTTTAAAAATTCAATAGCCTCTGCTACACTGTTGCTTAGTGTTTACGCAGCGAGTTTCACCTATAAAAATAATATTTATTAAAATGTATTTGACATTTTTACAAAATAGGAAGTTAAAGGCAACATTAAAAATTACGTTCATTTTTTGCTTCTTCCATTGGATGTGGTGTTTTTCCAGTTTATTTGCTAAGAGCAGAACTTCGTCATCCTGAATTAAATGCATTTTTTTAATAAATTCCCATTTTATTAAGGCGCCATCGTGGTCTTGAAATACCTTTAAGGTCCCTAATGCATTTCTAAGAAGTTTTAACATGTGGCATAGATCGAAAACTGCATAAATCTTTTGCCCTGCGAGTGTGGGGGATGCTCAAAGTATGTTTTGAGGTTATCAAGATCCTGAAAATTGCATTCCAATTGTTGGAACATTGTAAAGTGAGCAGGTGGACCATCACATGTTACTGAAGATATTTTCAGTCCTATACCCTAGTAGAAATTTATATTGGCGCAATATTGGCCAGATGTTGCCGCCAATATTCAACAATATTGGAATTAGAAAAAAATGTTAACGCTTTCCAATATACGGCCAATATTGGCGGGATATTGAACAATATTGTCCCACTATTTAGCCAACGTTAGGTTACATTGGAAAGGAATATTGCGCCAATATTGGGCAATATTGCCGAGCCTAGAGAACCTATATTGGCCCGACAATATTGCGTTTTTCGTAGTATATTGGAAATTAGGTTGCTAATGTCTTTTCCTCCAACAAGCGAGACAGAAGCAAGCTAAAGCACAATAAAGAAAAAATTAATAATTATTGAAGCAACATTAAAATCTAATTGACTTGTATGTACACTGTACAAAATATACTCACCACTTTTTGGAAAAATTCATTATGTTGAAGCTTCACTTCAACATCCTGAAGCTTCTCTTCGGACTGTATGGGAAACATTGAAGCTATTTCAACGTCTTCTTGTGAAATATTACATTTTGATATGGCAACGTTCGAAGTTGAAAATTGTTCACGCAAACCTCTTAGTTCATACTGAATGCCACCAAGTATTTTTGCCAAGGTACTTAAGGTTTTATCCTGTTTCTCCATAATATTGGCTACCTTCTCCACAAAATCTGAAAATTAAATCATGGTTAGCTGTTTGTATACCTACAATAACAGTAAAAGTAACTGTTATATTTATTGGCTGTGAGCATTACCATTGAAACAATCAGCTGTTAAAGGTATTTGGCCAGTAGTGAAGGATCCAAATTTATCTCGTATATCATCTGCATTTGATGACATGGCGTTGATAAGTGTTTTGTCAAATTCAATTGACATATCTTCTTCTACCACAGAGATGGGTTCATCACTTCCATCGAATTCATTTGGAGTAGCTGTAAACACAAAAATTAGTTGAAATGTATGCAAAATTACAGGCAACCAACCAACTTGTTTTTTAGGAAATGAAAAGTACATGCGAAATTAACTTATCAATGAAGTTTACTTAAAAAGAATACCTTCAATCATGTATAACAAAAAAATATATATATAAACACACTATATACATTGTTATTATGTACGTTTCTTAAAATTGCCAGTGACATTTTAAAGCAATATAAATTTTTTAAATTTCCTTAAAAAGAACAAATTAATTTTTTGTTCATTTTCTTACTTTTCATTTTGCACAAAGAAAGAAAAACGTTGATGATACTTACATGTTGGTGTATCAGAGACATCTGTAACAGTTTGTGGTTCTAATGGTGTCGGTGTTATCGAAGTTGTCGATTTACTTGACTCTGAGCAGGAACTTATATCTACATAATATGATACACAATCATTAGCCTCTTGTATGGAAGTGACTGTCCTTTTAAATTTTGCTTGATATTCAATAAAAGAAAGGTGAGGTGGCAGTGGCCTGCATTTTTTTTTTCAATTCTAAAAGTTTAGACTCTGTTTTTATTACAGGCCAAACATATGAAGTTTTATTATTATCGATTGCCCAACAGCTTGGTACAAAGTCTACACTGTTATCTTTGGTAAAAATAATTACATCCCAACAACTGCTGTTTCCTTCATTATCCGAGTCATCTGATGAATTAATTTCCAATGACTTCCTTTTATAAGACAATCTTAAAAAACAAAAAACCATTAGTTACAGAACAAAGACAAACAATTTAATCAATTATAATATTCACAAACAATTTATTACAATATTCACGAACCTGAGTATGCAATAAACCCACAGCAAATATGTCATCCTCAACAGAAAAAAGTAGGCATTTGGTGAAAACGTCTTGTAAGGTAACAGTGAATTGAAAGGCACTCAAATCCTCAACCTTATATATGTGTAGCAAAGAAGATGGTATGGGATGTTCAAAAGCATTCACATTTTTCTGAAAAACAGATCCAGACAAAAAAACTGAATTATCATTTTTACATATAATTTTCCTAATTTTCATGACCTTCATACATCTCAGTATTATGTAAGAATTGTTTTCATCTACAGAAGACAAGTAAAAATTTTGGAACTTAATTTGTGTTGTGACACCTTTAACTGTGGTAATGGTTTGAAATGCAATATTGTTATGTTGGGTGCTGTAGTATGGTAAATAATCTTGTTTTTCATAAATTCTCTTACAAGCTTGTTCGAATGGTTTATAGTATCCTCTTATAGATCTCTTCAATTTTCCTAGATAATTTTCAAAAGAAAAGCAGCTTACATCATCCAACCTCATATTGGTATTTATTAATTGTTCAATTAGATGCGTTAGTGAATGTGTATTGTGAACAGGCTCGTGTGATGGGTAGCGTTCATGTGACTGTTGTACAAATTTTCTTATCATTTCACTGGCTTTCTTAGAAAGTTGGTCGTCATAATTATTTGCGACTATTCTGCAAGAGCAAAATAAAAGCAAAAAATGTTGATACATCTCCCTGGGCAGCATCGCTTTGAATATAGCGAAACCAATGTAAAGTATAATGGTGCGAAATTCGCTGGCTTTAAATCTATCCAATTCCAATGTTGTTCTTGGACGACGATGAAATTCTTTTGGAAAATGTTTTCCTACCTCAACCATTCGACGTGCGACAATGTTCCGGTACACAGGTTTGATTCTAAAATTGGAGTCTGCTTGCAGCCGAAAGTTAAGCAAACGGCGCACAGTTCCCAGGCAAATTGCATGCATATAATCCAAAATGAAGCCATTCACCATATCAAATTCTTTTAGTTTAATTAGCGGTGTTGTATCTTTGTGATGTTGTGGGTGTAATTTATTGACAAATGTCAGGTGCGTTCAAACTTCTATATTTTCCTCTGCTAAGATATTATATGTAATTATGCTTTTCTTGCCATCATTACTTGTATGCCCTTTCACATTACATTTATCACAAGAGAAGAATCCATTGTGTGACTTAACACATTTTAAAAAGGCTCTGGCTGGGCTATCGCAAATGAAATATTTCAACTGAAACTTGAAATTAGTTTCTTCGTAGGTGAAACCAGTTGTTTGTAAAACGTTAATTTCCTCGATAAATTCCTGAAAATACGTTTCCAAATCAGCCGGCTTACTATCACCATAATATAGGGCTATCACAAAAGGTTCTGTGTGACAATTCTTAACAAATATTTGTCCCAGCAAAGGCCAAAACTGCCAAACGCTACTGGTAAATATTGATAAACCGTCTACATTGCAAACTAATTGAATAGTACTTTCTTTTAAGATGGAGGATAATCCTCGTTTAAACTCAATTTCTAAATTTTGTTTTATTCCAAAATATATAAACTGTGCAGGTGTATTTTTTGTAGATACTACTTCTATGTATGGAAGTTTTCTAACGGTTTTTAAAGCAGTCTTACTGCAGCTTGGTAGATCTGGATGGCCATGCTTGTTTAACACCTGAAGAATGCCTGTTAATTGTTCATGATTGACTTTTTTATCATAAAACCACGTAATCAAATCGCTAAGTAATGAAGGTCGCGCGTTTACATCTGCATCATTTTTCTCAAATATGTTGCAAAATGTATTTGTTGGGCTAGCATCTAACTTTCCCTCGCAAATTTCGTTGCTAAAGGGATTTGTATCAGTAATTAATATGTTGTCAGATAAATCATTGTTATTTTCTAAACTGTTATCAGAAACATGCAAAGATTCATTAGAAATAGTCGATGAGTTGCTATCACTGTCAGGTGGCAAACATTCTGATCTAAAATTATTATTATTACCAGATGAGCTAATGATATGCGCAGTTGTATCTAAAACATGAAATATACAAATTTAAAATTAACAGCTACAAGTATACTGGTGGGAAATAAGAATAGTTCTCGGTTGCCATATCTGCTATTGAGAAATATATAAAAAAGTTGTAAGAAGGTTAAATCTACACATTTTAAATTTATTATTATATTTACAAGGTGTAAAACAACATGACAAGTCCAATATATATATTTTGATAATAAACCTCTACAAAATTCTTCTATAAGAACTGATTTTAACGGGGTTGCCTGAAGAGGCACCTAAGCCTATAACATGGACAGGGAAATAATCAAATATCAAACAAAATTGTAAAAACCAAAGTTAAAAATAAAGACTAATTACAAAAAAAAAAGAACAGGGTTTAAAACTAGAAGTTTAGGAGATACAGGATGTTATAAATCATATTTTTTAAACAACTTTTGTATATAATATATATTTTTTAGTAACCAAGAAGTGCCGGGAGCCATTCTTATTTGCCCATCTGGTACAAATCAACTAATTATTGATAGTAACAAAAAAAGTAAGTTGATGTTGAATATTTTGAAATATATACTAACTTGGTTCATGTTGTAGTGATAATGAATTATCAGTCTTACTAAAGTGATCTCTTTTATTATTATATGTTTTATTCTGTATTTGTTGTGAAAACCCACATTGTCTTTTGATAAACATTATCTTTGCAGCTCTGCTTTTGCCGTGGTTGCTATAACCCCTTTTACTACAATTATAAACGAAAATAATGTGTTAATATGTACTTTGCTTTTAAACTGTCCATACATAGATAGGTACTCCTCAAGTCAGTGCCCATATCGCGCCTACCGAAGGGTAATTCCTTGGCATTTAACCCCACATTTACAGCATTGCACGCAGGGCGTTGAACCCTGGAATGTGTATTCCAGTGCGTTGAAGCACACACTACAAAAAGTATGGCCACACTTTAGGCCATATGATTGTTTTGACAGCAAAAATATGCGGCATCTTGCACATTTCGGATGTTCGGCTAAAAAAATATAATTTTCCAATAATCATTCTATCTTACCTATTAGAGTACAACTTACTCTTTTCTTGGAAGTGGGGACATATTTTACATGCATATTGTGAAGGATAATTGCAAAACTTCCCGGTCAAAAATCTACAGCAAATGTGGTCTGGTCTGGTTGGTGTGGATGTGACTATAATGTACGCCATTCTATCCACTTCTTTGGCAACTTTCTCAGTGAATGGCCGGACATTTTCACGTACACTTTCTAGTTCCTCAGGGGTCAATGTAAAGAATTTGCAGTTAAAATAACCACACATGCTGTGGCATCTCATAAACTCATGTTTGTACTTGCATTGAACAGCCTCACATATACCCAATATGTATAAAAAGCATGGGGTTGTTTTATTGCTAAAAAACAGAAGTTCATTGCAAATTCTATATGTACACAGCTGGTTATTAGTTATAACTTAAGCCCCTCCTGGCCACTTTATTATGGGAGCTATAAAATTCACAATTATTGACCATTTTGTATTTGCTTCATTTAAATATCAATAAACAGTAAATAAAGTTAGGACATGGTAATGAATTCGGTTTGACCAATATTGAATTATTTTGGTATAACAACTTTTTAGAACTGCCAAATAATACCTTACATGTTTGTAACCATCCATGTTAGACCACACAAGCATAAATCAATAAAATCAGAGCTCTTCAAGGAAAATCTAATAAACTAATAAAATACAGGGTGTTCTATTATAGAAAAGGTCTTATTGTTTATGTCACGTGACTTGCACATTATATTTTTGTACAAACTGTATAAAAATTAAATTATAACCGCTTATATTTTTTAATTGCATATTTTCCAGCTAAGCTTTCATAATAAAGTAGTTAGACAGAGGACAAATGCTGACAGTAGAATATTTACTTAATTTTAAGACAAAAAATTTGTTTCAAAAAATACATGAGGTTTGTTAGGTAAATTGTTAACAGTTTTTGGAATATTTTATTTTAAATGTAACATCTTTCTTGGTCATTGAACTATGTGTTTCGCTAATATTTATAAAATTGTAGTGATGAAAAAGTTTGTTTTTTTATTTATTTATTTATGGAATATACCATTTTTGTACACATAGTGGTTATAATAAAAGTGTATTATCATATGTATTGTAATGGAACAGTGTGTTCATATATTTTTCAAAATATGTTAAAGTGTTGTTTAATAGAAGGGCTTTACAAAAATAGTTTATTTTAAACAAAAAATCATAAGGAAACTTGAAACAAGGTATTTTCTCAAGTTATAAACACAATTTACAATTTTAGAGCACATAATAAAGTTATAAAGTGAATTTATAAACAGTAAGGATTTTTACAAGTCCATTTTCAGAGAATCACCATATAAGTCATTACGAACAAAACTTAGAAACAAGTCAAGAATGTGAAATATATAAAAATACCTTGTCTAATTAGATTAATTTACCAAAAAATTTATAAAATATTTCAACTGTCAAAATTTTTGCATTTTCTACTATTTTTGAATATTTTTCCATTTAATTTAGACTTAGTATAGTATAGGTGCCCACATGTCCAACAAAAATGTTACATTAATGTAAAACAACCAATAATAATTTTCATACTGAACTTTGCACTTTTTATTTTTAAAAATCTCAAAAACAATTCACAATTTTGCATAACAAATGAATTTTATGTCTGCATATGGTGCCTACCTTATGTTGAATTGCATTCATCGGTCTTCTGCACATAGGACATGTGTCTTTGTTTTTCAACCACTCTGTCAAACATTCGGTGCAATACACATGTCCACATGGATTGCCGTAACTAAAATCTTTTGATAGTTCCCCCAAGCAACAATTGCAACTAAATGCTCCTTCTTTATAATCAACGGGCATTCTATGTGCAAATCTGATTGAACAGGCACTGAATCTCTTACATATCCTTGTATTTGCATATTCATTGCAATGTCCACCCCTCAATTGCATGGTTCGGAAAATTTCTTTTTCCATATTTGGGGGAACTACCAAGCGCTCAGTATAATATTTCTCCTCAAAGTAGTGGACATGGAGGTACGTGCAATACTCCCCTAACCTGCATTTTCCTGCTCTAAATGCTCGGCAATAGTTGTAATAATGCAACCGTGGACATTGCACATTGGAACATTTGTTTTCCAAATATTCCGAACATAATCTAGAATATATTATCCAATTAATTTACTTTATGTGAAATTATCTTTCAAATGACAATAATGAAATCAAAATAATGGCATACTTTCCTAAAGTCTACTACTTTTTAAAGAAGCTAATTGGTGTGTAGTATTGGTAAGAAAGTTGGAAGTTTTTCAGGTGTGCTTAATAATAATAATAATATAATAATAATACTCTCCCTAATTCACCCCCTTACGAGTGAATTTCAACCCCTGAAGTCGACTGAACGACTTGTGTAGGGGAAGGGACGGCTATTATTATTATTATTTGCCGTGGCGCTTCGGGGCGACTTAAAGATGATTGATGGTGCCATTTGACTGACAGGTGAGGAAAACCCGGAAAACCTCACCCACCATCATCGAGACGGTAATGTATGGCGAATTTTTTTAATCTGCATGTCATATCAACAGAAATTGAATTTCTATTAATACGCCACACATCAAATCCTAAACCGAACCATGCAATTTAATTAAAAATTCACATGGTCCGGTCTGGGATTCGAAACCCAGCAGTCTCAGACTCATAAACTTGCCTATAAATGAATATAAGCGCGATAGACCGCTACACCACCGTCCCGATACAAATGAAACACAATGTAACAAGAAACTCCACAATAATATATTAAATGTAAAAAATATACAATACTCATCTACAATTGTTTCATTACAGCATGTAACATCTTCAGGATGACAAGAAATTATATCGAATATAATTATATCAAATATATTTGATAGCTTAGCCCCTAGAATGTAGATGAGTATTGTATATATTTTTATATTTTTTACATTTAATATATTATTGTGGAGTTTCTTGTTACCTTGCGTTTCATTTGTATGAATCATGAATAGATTCCATGAAGTAAGGGTTTCAACAATTCAAACTGATGTGCTTGCTTGTTTGGGTTAGTATGACCGTGGATTTTACATCCATTTGCCAATTTTCAGGTGTGCAAATTTAAAAGTAAAATAAAAATCCAATAGTTTTTAAAAAGCTTCACTATATTTCGCAATACTCAGGCTGACCGGTTTCACTTAGACTCAGCTAAGCATCATCAGAGCGTAATATAGTGAAGCTTTTTAAAAATCTATTGGATTTTTATTTTACTTTTAACAGGCTTGAAAACATAAATCTGTGCAAATTTATTGAATTACCACTTTTACTGATAAAACAAATTGATGTAGTATATAACAATTGGTACTTTCAAGTAGTAAAGCAACACATAAAAGCAAATGATAGAAACTCCCAATACAGGTCGATTTTTTATTTTAATCATTGATTTTTTAAATAACAATTTGTATATAAAGGGTGAACTACCTTAAAGTAATGACCTCAAAACACACCCGCTTTTAATTACATTTTTAGATAATTCCTGAAGAGCTGACTCCATTGCCCTATCACAATAGGGGTCTATATAACTAAACAGATCGATGGCTCAATCAAAAACCGCCACAAGTCAAAAAACAAAGAAAATTACATTTTTGTTTTACTGGATGCAAAATATCATTAAGTTTTTATTTTAAATATCGCAACAAACAAAAATATCCTTAGAGATGCACGAAACTCATTTAAAATCTAGCTAAAACTGCCCCAATTCTAGTTATTTTCTGCAAAAACACCTAATTTTTTTTACAAACTATGGCAATTTTTTTACAAACTATGCGATAACTCGAGTTAGGGTGCTTTTATAATCGTAATCGCTAATTTTAATAGCAAAATGTCGTAGCTTTTAAATAAAAAATAAAGATTTTATGTCAGAAACAAAATATTCATAACAGAAACTTACAAAACTTTAAAATTAAATTTCTCGAAACACTATTTTAGTTGTGGCAGTATTTGATTGAGCCATCGAGATAATAGGTAAGATGTTTAAAATTGAAATTCTTTCTAGGGGCTAAGCTACCTACCTATGTATTATACAAATTCAAATCATTACTAATCCTACCAAATGTTTTATCCTACACTTCGTTTTCAGCAAACGACTTATTTAAATCCAAAAATAAGGATGTCAGAAATATTTTTTATTTTCGTGTTTACTGTATGTTATTTTAGGTACAAAACACGTATTTTATTAAAGCATACCTATATGATTAGGTCTGTAAGAATGTACCCAAGGCCGATATTAGACAAAAATCTTTTATCAAATAATTCAAATAACCCTCATAATCAGACATGAGAGATTACGTTGTAAGTTTTTGCATGGTTTCGGCGTAGATCTAAATGGCACCATCTAAGTACTTTAATTTAATTTATCAAAGCAATATTTTTAATATATAATATAACACCGTGTACATTGGGTCAAGAACATATTCATACAAGATTTTTGTCAAATAAGTCCTACATAATGCTCTAACGACTATTATTGCAAAATGGCGGATGGCGTCTCTCTCTATACACTCTGTATGTAAATAAAATTTGTGTACTTACCGATTCCCAGACGTATTCATTTTCACAACACAATCAAAACACTTATGTTTATTATTAGTGTACCACGACCAAAACTAAAATGCAATTTACTGAATCCTAAAATGCTAGTAAAAACCAAAAACGCAAAAGAAAGTAAAGACACGTTGAGTCGTTGAGTTGAACATCAACAAATAAACTGAAACAAATGGATGCCAGCGAACGTGAATGCGCGGTAGTCGGCTGCGCGGTGCTGCGGTGTTGTGTTGAATACTCTACAGTGTTGCCAAGACATCTTTATAAAAATTATGATATTACATTTTATTATAAGTTCTCAATTTATGGAATTAGAACCGATTCTACGGGCCGTATGTAATAGGTAGACGTATCAATAGTCAGTTAAACAGTTTATACCTAATCTCTTAAATGCATGACAACTGACACTTTTTGAATACAGAAACTGAAAGTTTTTTCTATACCTACCTCTACGTCTAGTTTCATCAAACATATCGATTGGAGCAATATGAAATAGCGATTAAAAAATAAAAACATTACTTTGAGATTTAAATGACAACGCCCACAATGTACTGAATCGAGCAATTATACTATTCGTTTAGTACTTTGTTTAGATGCGTCTTCTTTAGGCGTTTTCTATTTGAAAATCGGGTTTAAAACGCTGACTTCTCCGAGCTTAATGCTCAGGCTATACATTATATTATGTTATACAGCCAGAACAACTTTTGTTATGCGCTCTGTCAGCTGTCAAAAATATAACAGACCAACTAAAAAAATCACACAGTTACATATATGTAGGTATATTTATTATGATGTGGCTATACATTAAGTATGTGGAAAAATACAATACACAGCTAAAGAATATTGACAGAATATTCTTTAACACAGTGACAAGCACAGCGCACAGCAACATTGTTCGTCGCTTCATGCACAAAACAAAAAGAACGGAAGCTGTGTACTCCGTATATTGCTCATGTGAGAACTCATTGTCATCAAATAAAAAGCAGCTATATACTCGAACGAATGTATAAATGTGGCAATGCTGTAAATTTATAAAAGAGTAATGGCTTTGCTTAACCAATATTTAGCCAATATTCCATCAATATTTATTCCCAATGCAAAGGCAATATTGCAAAAAAATCTAAAGCCTATGTATATCCAATATTGGTCATATATTCTTAATATTGGTCAATATTGCGTCAATATCTGGCCAACATTTACAAATAACCTGTTGGAGATATTACTTTTCTATATCTCGCAGAGTGCTGGGTAATAAGACACGTAGATTATTACAACTTTCTATTAGCAGAATTTTAATTATAAAACATAACGAACAACTTAACAGTCAAATCAACGACTAACTTGCTTGACATGATTACAAGTGACATAAGTGACACATGTCACAAGAACATAGACTAAAGAACGATAGATATCAAAATCAGTATTAATTGTGACAACCTTATTATTGATTATTTCTAACATTCTCCCTCAATAATAGGGTGTCAAATTTTACAAAAAAAAATTATGTGAAAGAACATTATGACAATACTTTTTTATATCATATTTAATTTTTCACATAAATATTTGTGTCTTTTTGAACCTAACGATTTTGTCAGAATATCTGCTACCATTTCTTTAGTTGGCATATATAATAATGTTATTTCATTATTCTTTACACACTCACGAACAAAATGATACTTGACATGTATGTGTTTAGTGCGTTTGTGAAAACTTAGATTTTCTGACAACATCAAGGCACTCTGATTATCATTGGTAATAGTGATAGGCATTTTCAAATTTAAAAAATTACAGTTATTATTATTGGTAAAAATTTCACAACATAAAGATTTTATATATAATGACTCTTTTACTGCCTCACATATCCCTATATATTCAGCTTCAGTTGAACTTAAAGCTACGGTTCTTTGCTTATGACATTCCCATGATATAGGCCCTCCAGCCAAAGAAAAAATATAACCATAAAATGATTTTCTATCTAAAATGTCATTTGCCCAATCAGAGTCTACAAATCCGTTTACAGGGCTATTTGATTTTTTAAAAGTGATACCTACATCTTTTGTACCTTTCAGATACTTAAGTACTCTTTTAGCACCCAACCAATGCTCTTTTGAATGGTTAATATTGAATTGACTTAGATATGATACTGAAAAGGTAATATCTGGTCTTGTAAATACTGATAGATACATGATTGATCCAATTAACTGTTGAAAAGGAGCATCATAAAAAACTCCATCAACTACAAAAGTTTGGTTTGGTTCTAAGGGAGCACCTACAATATTACAGTCTGACATCTGAAATTTATTTAGAATGTTATCTACATATTGTTCCTGAGTTAATTTTAACTCTCCCTTAGCACGGTTTCTTACTATTTTCATACCCAATATGTGTGACATTGGTCCAAGATCTTTTACATGAAAATGTTTATTTAGTTGTTTTCAAAAAATTGGCACAATCAAGGTCATTGTAAAAGATAAAGAAATCATCTACATACAGTGCAACTATAACTATAGAGTTTTCAATATTTTTAAAGAAAATACAAGGCTCTATTTTCGATTGGCTAAATTTCAAATTAACAAGAACATTTCGAGCCTTTTCATACCATAATCTTGATGATTGCTTTAACCCATAAACAGCCTTTTTGAGTAAACACACTTTAGTTTCTGAACCTGGTTCTTCGAAACCTTCTGGTTGAGCCATATAAATTTGTTCATCAATCTCACCATTCAGAAACGCTGTCTCCACGTCTAAATGGTCTGCTTCCAAATCTAATTCTACAGCCATGGCAAGAAGTAATCTTAAATTACTAAATCGGATTACTGGAGAAAACGTCTCTGAATAATCTACGCCATATTTCTGGGTGAAACCCTTGGCAACTAACCTAGCCTTATATGTAGCTATATCTCCATTTTGATTCAACTTAGTTTTAAAAACCCATTTATTTTTAACAATATTTTTATTATTAGGTTTATCAACCAATTCCCAAGCATTATTGACTTTAAAGGCATTTAGTTCCTTTTTAATAGCATGCTTCCATTCAGCACTTCTTGTGCTCAACAGTGCTTCAGAAAGAGTTGATGGTTCTAAGTCATTTGATATAGCTACCATACTCGCTAACATGGCAAAATTTGAATTATCAGATACATCATTATCATTATCAAGTAAATAGTCATCAAAAAATTTTGGCTTACATCTATTCCTTTTTGGATACCTGGATTCACAATCACTTTCACTAATATTTACTTTAGATTTATCCCATTCTCCATTTTTAGAACCATTTTCACTATCACTCACTTCCACAGCACTATTTTCTTCTTCGCTAGACAGGCTGGACTCACATAATTCTGAAGAAGGTGGTGAGTTTGATTCTTCATCCACTAAGGTTGAATTCTCAGGTATCTCAATTATTTGATCCTCACTCCTGACACTAAGTGGAAAGAAAATGCTTAACATAGCAGGCTGCAAAGTCTCTGGAAATTTTTCTTCCAAAAACACAACATCTCTTGCTATCTTTAGATTGTGATTGTTAGGATCCATTAATCTATAACCAATACTGGCTTCAGAATATCCAACAAAAATATACTCTTTGCTCTTTTCATCCAGTTTTCGCCTCTTTATATCAGGTATATGGACGAAAGCACTACATCCAAACACTTTAAGATGTCTAAGATCTACCTTCTTTCCAGTCCACTTTTCTTCTGGCGTTGCACCACGTATTTTCTTTGTCGGTGAACGATTTAAAAGATAAACTGCAGTGTTTGTTGCTTCTGCCCACATTTGTTTCTGGCTATTTGATTCGATGAGCATGGAACGTACCTTCTCAAGAATTGAACGATTGTACCTCTCTGCTACACCATTCTGTTCAGGACTATAGGGTACAGTTAGCTCATGCTTGATTCCTTTGTCTTTAAGAAAAGCATCTAACGTTTTATTACAATACTCTCCCCCATTATCAGTCCTTAGTACTTTTATTTTTCGTTCAGTTTGATTTTCTACCATCAAACAAAATTCTTTGAAAATAACAGGAACTTCGTCCTTCGATTTAAGAAAGTAACAAAATATTTTTCTTGTATGGTCATCAATTAGAGAAAAAATATATCTCTTACCACCCCATGATTCTACTTCCATTGGTCCAACTAAATCAGAATGAATTAGGTCAAGTTTATTTTTAACAACTTCTTTATTCTTTTTATAAGGAAATGGTTTTCTTGACTGTTTTCCTTTAATACAACTTTCACAGTATTCAGGGACATTAATTTCTTCATATACCATTCCTGTTGCTAGACTGTTTTTTAGTAAACTCATGCTATAGTGATTAAGGTGACCTAGTCGTTTATGCCATAGCATATGAGAAGTGGTTACTTTTGCTATGTTTATATGCTCCGGCAAAGTATCAAGTTTATATAACCCATCAACATTACTGGCTGTAGCAATAATTTCTCCCTCAATAGAGCACTTCTCTTGCTCAATTATTTTGCAACCTTCAGTGTCAAAACATACACTGTAGCCTTTGGACACCATCGAATTTACTGACAGAAGGTTAACTGAAAGATCTGGAACATACTTAATTTCAACAATGTTCCTTTCAATTCCATCTTGTTTTAACTTCACAATACTATTGCCAGTTCCGCTAACAAACAGTTTATTATTATTTGCTATGGAAATTTCTTGTCCAGAATTTTTATTGGACAATTCCATCAAAATATCACTATTGCCTGTCATATGAGCGGATGCGCCACTGTCGATGTACCAAGCATTATTTTTCATATTTACACCTAATGCAGCGGCAAACAAAGCTTTATTTTCACTTCGGTTATCACTCTGTTTGTTTTTATTTGGTGTCATATCTTTCTTGTGTTGTGCTTGTGGACATTGATTTTTGTAATGGCCTTTTTGCTTACAACCCCAACACCATGGAGATTTCTTAAACTTATTATATTTCACAGCTAATGCAGAATCACCTCCATGTCTTCCATTTTGCCACTTTTTGTCTTGTAACAATTTGGTTTTTACAAAATCTGAGGTTATGTCTACACCGGAATTTTCAAGTGCCATGACCATCGGTTCATATTCTTCTGTGAGACCTTGTAGCATTATCACACCAAGAAATTCATCATCTATAGGTTTTCCAATTGACATCAGTTGCTGAGAGAGGCCCATTATTTGATTTACATAGTCTTCCATGTTATCAAAGTTTTCAAGTTTTATTGAGC